AGACTAAATGAAATAAGTAACTCCGCAAAGGCTTTCAAGCCGGAGTTGACATTACCAACGGCAGCAACCGAAGGGTTGAAAGAAATTCACTTATCTGCCCAGCACTAATAGTCACATGATGAGTGACAGGAAGGCAGCCTGTCAGTTAACAGCAACTACCTGGTCATTCTGCAGAGCAATCAAGAAATGGGAAACTCGGGGCTGGAGAGATGGCTCAGAGGTTTAAGGGCATTGGCTGCTCTTCTAGAGGACCTGGGTTCAATTCCCAGCACCCACATGACTGCTCACAGCTGTCTGTAATTCCAGTTCTAGGGGATCCAACATCCTCACACAGAATATATACAGGCAAAACACCAATGTACATTAAATAAATAAATCTTTTAGAGAGAGAGAGAGAGAGAGAGAGAGAGAGAGAAAGAAGAAAGAGAGAGAGAGAGAGAGAGAGAGAAAGAAAGAAAGAAAGAAAGAAAGAAGAAACTTGCTAGGCACAGTGGCACATGTCCTTAGTCGTAGCATTTGGGAGGCAGAGGCACATGGATCTCTATTAGTTCAAGGCCAGCCTGGTCTAGTGAGTTCCAGGACAGCCACAGTTACAGAGAAACCTTGTCAAAAGAAAGGAATGAAGGGAGGGAGGGAGAGAGGGAAAAAGGAAGAAACCATGACATGTTTGGGATCTAATTTTCTAGGCCCTTGACACTCAAAGGTTAATTAATCAGAAAGGGGAAGTGGACCCAAATGACAGCCAGCAGACCTCACCAGACCACAGCCCTGGTCCCACAGCACTGTGGACGGGGGTGCCACCCCATTCCCCCTGCCCCACCTCACACCCTACACCTCCCAACACAGTATCAGTCACCAGACATGCTGGGTTATCACCCAGAGACAGCACCAGCTGGGAATCCAAGATCCTCAAGAGCTTGATCATCTACCTGTCACCAGTTCACGCGTGTTCCGGGCTAACTTCTTGTCTGTTTACCTTCCTGTGTCTCTGCAAGCTCCTTCCCATAGGCAGTTGAAAGAAGGAAAGGCTGGGGCACAGTCTAGAGGGAGGTACTCGGGTGGCACCATGCCATCGGCAACCACAGAGTTGGAAAATCCCCTGGGAACCAGATTCTGGGCTTGCTGCAGCTGCGGCCTGACCAAGCTGAGGCTGGTTTACAGGGGACCCACAGACAGCACACAGGACCTCAGTGACTGCATCCGATGCCTAGAACAGGGCAGGCAACCTGCAGAGAGGAAGCTCCCGACCACCAGAGAGAGGCAAGCAGAGGCTGAAGATCCTGTCCCAGACAGGTAAGCAGGAACAGTATGAACACAGACCACAGACCCAGTTCTGCCGCTGACTCAATATTTCTGAGCCTCAATTTCTTTCCATAAAATGAGCATTGAAAATAGCCCAGCTAGCCTGGAGGTGGTGGTGGACGCCTTTATTCCCAGCACTTGGGAGGCAGAGGCAAGAGGATCTCTGTGAGTTTGAGGCTAGCCTTGTCTACAGAACAAGTGCCAGGACAGCCTGGGAAATTAAAAAGAACCCTGCCCCCCCCCAAAAAAAAACCCATAATTTAGGAACTGGAGAGATGGCTCAGCAGTTCAAAGCACTTGCTGTTCTTGCAGAGGACCTGGGTTCAATCCCCAGCATCCACATGGTGGTTCATAAACATCTGTAACTCCAGTTCTAGGGGATCCAATGTATGTCCTTCTGACCTTCTCAGACATCAAGCACACATGTGGTGTTCATACACGCATGCAGGCAAAACACTCACACATAAAATGAATAGTTATAAAAGTAAAAGAAGTCTGCCAGGCATGGTGGCACACGCCTTTGATTCCAGCACAGGGGAGGCAGAGGCAGATGAACCTCTGTGAGTTCAAGACCAGCTTGGTCTATATATTGATTTATGAGACAGCCAGAGTTACATAACAGAGACACCCTATCTCAAAAAAGTAAAAAAACAATTAAAAAAAAAAAAAGGACTTCCCTAAGCTAGATGTGGTGGTGGCAGAACAATTGTAAATACAAGGTCAGCCTGGGCTACAAAACAAAACCCTGTCTCAACAGCACCCAATGAGATGTGCCAGGAACACCTGACACTCTGTTTGCCTGATAGGAAAGACCCAATAATAATAATAATAATAGAAGTGTCATTCTAATAGGAATTAATAAATAGAAGGCACCAGTTGCATCAGCCCAGCCCCAGCAGGGAAGGCTGAACAGGAACCAAGCCCTTACCTGGGTGCCCACGGTGCCCTTAGTGTCACTGTCCTTTTACTAAATCCAGGTCAAGCTTCTTCCCAAGCTGCCAGGAATGCCAGACCCCTCCCTGCCCACCCACCACACACACACACAAGTGCTGCAAATGCTATTATCTGCAGCTTCCAGATCCCAAGGTCCTGACAGCAGACAGTGTGAAGACGTGACGGAAATGCTGCTCTCTCCAAGCCAGGGAGGAAGACACAGGAACCAGGTGACAAGAAGATGAGCCAAGCCACGCATGGGCTTGCAGCTAAGCTGACAGAAACAACCCCAGAAGCAATGTCAGGAGAAAAGACATCCACATCAATGGAAGGCTGTGTATGGTGGCTCACAGTTATAGTGCCAGCTTCTCAGGAGGTTGAGGCAGGAGGACCACAAGTTTAAGGTTAGCCTGAGCTACATAAGACCCTGTCTCAAAGCAAAATGAATAAATAAAACAAACCAAGAAGGGGCTGGTAACAGTTAGGGACAGGGCCCCTCAGCACCTTAGGATGGAACTCAAGAATTAAGTTTGATTAGGGTTAAGTGGTCCCTTGGGTTTGCCACTGTAGTGGGAAGGGACATTCATTGTTTTCTATCACAACTGGGAGGGTCTGGGGCCTTGAGGGTCTAGCATGGTGGCCAGCTCCTTCACTGGACACAAAAAGGAGCTGACATCACGTCATCCAGCAACAGACAGACTGAGGGCTAGAGCCCATGCTGCCTGGTGCTGGGGAGACAGTGAACCTGTCCCCACTTACTTCCAGAGACACCCCTCTTCCAAGGCACATGGAATGCTGAGCCTGTCAGCTGAGCATAGCAGTCTCATGGGGTACCGATGGAGGTAGATGTCACACAAACACCTGGAATGGACAGGGAATGGACGGATGGCCTCAAGCCACAGCGACCTCCTGCCTCAGTCCCCCAGTGCTAGGATCATAGTCATGCACCAGCAGCCCCAGTACAACCTGGCTGTACTATTATTCGTATTATTGTTGTGTGTACATGACATATGTATGTGTACATAGTGTGTATGTGAGAAACACATGTGCCACAGAACAAGTTTGAAGACCAGAGGACAACTCTGTAGAAATCACTTTCTTCTTTCATCATTTGTTTGTTTTTGTTTGAGACAGGATCTCTGAATGTAGCTCTGGCTGTCCTGGAACTCACTCTGTAGACCAGGCTGGCCTTGAACTCAGAGATCCACCTACCTCTGCCTCCTGAGTGTTGGGATTAAAGGTGTGTGCCACCACACCTGGCTCCCCTTCCGCGTTTATGTGAGATTCAGGGATCAAACTCGGGTCGCCAGGCTTACAGAACAAGCTCTTTAACTGCTAAGCCATCTGAAGTATTTATTTGTCCTCTGACTGTGTGTGGTCACACTAGAGCTCCACAATTCACTCTCCCAGAAACCCTAAGACACAGAAAGACAATTGAGTTTTCCCAGAAAGCTTAACTCTGTGTCTTGGACAGCCCCGGCCCAGCCTCTGGGGCTAGATTAACAGGGGACTTGAGGGTGCTGCCTAAAAGGTAGGGTCCTGTCTGCACAGGGCCAGGTCTGCAGTTTGTTAGGCCAATCCCAGGTCATACATCAGTGGTAGAAAGGTCACTACCCCAGCATGCCAACTAAAGCTGTCACCCAAGTTCAGACCTTCTGCCTCCTCTTCTGGTCCAGTTGTCAAGGGCTCCTGCTCCTGGGAAACTGCAGCAGGTCAGAAGTGCAAGCAGTGCCTCCCCAACGCTCTGAAAGCCTGGGGTCCACAGACGCCCATCTGGGCAAGCACACCCCTCCACTTGCCCAGCCCCAGGGACACGTGATAGCACTTTGCAAAACAACCCTCAAGACTCTCAAGGGTCCTGCACACAGAGGTGTTGCTGTGGCTATGGCTGTGACCAGCAAGAACATACAACCTCCTTCAAGGTTTTCCTTTACCAGACTTGGGACCGCATCTCCTCCTCCATCCTTCCTTCAGGTCCTATCTCAGAGGCCCCTCCTCCCAAGAGCCTCAGCGGCTCAGGCAATGGAGGCCAAGGTGTCTATTTTCTAGTGTCACTGTGTGCCATGCAGAACACCCCTCATGAACTCACAGGACTACAAGGGGTAGCTAACAACCATGCCCACGTCAGACATATAAACAGTCTCTTTCCAGAATCTTCCTCACTGCTCTCCAGACTCTGCCCTGTCCTTGCAACTTCCCTTTGGCTCTTGTCAGACAGAATTGTTCTCTCAAAATAAACCAGCAGGGTCACAGTACTCTTTTTAATTTGATACATTCACTGCTTTAAAAAAAAAATCAGGAAAAGAGCTGGGTGTGGTGAAGCACACCTTTAATCCGAGCACTCGGGAGGCAGAGGCTGGGGTGGGGGTCTCTGAGTTCAAGGACAGCATGGTCTACAGAGTGAGTTCCAGGACAGCCAGGACTACAGAGAAACCCTGTCTGGGGTGATAGAGGTAGGCGATTACATGTTCCCTTTTCCTGGCTACATATTATACCATTGGATAACACCTATTGCTACATTGTTCCACTCGCCTGTTTCAGTGCCCTGCTGTACCATTTGGTTACAAGCTAAGCTAGACTAACTCTCCCTTAAGGTTGCTGCATAGGTTTAACCTAGGCAGGCCTGAATTTCTTTCCTCTAAGCCTGCGGGTGTGTGGACCAGCAATCTCTTCAGGACACCACTTCCCGCCTGGCCTTTAAAAGTCCTGCAACTTCAGCCACAGCAGCTCACCACTCGGAATCTTTCCTCCTTGGGACACAAGTTCCCAGCTCCCCCAGTACACTGAGAGGCCAGCAGCAGGACCCCGGCACCACACCTCTCTAAGACAGGTACAAGGACTGAAGTCACCAAGCAAGTTAAAGCGCTTGCCTCAGGCCTGAACCCACTCAGGGGACCCCAGGCCACCAGGAAGTTGTTTCATCTCTGACAGGAGAGCAAATGACAATGGGACAGAAGCAAGCTGTCACAGATAGGTGTCAACATCACAGCAGCCAACTGAACAGGTCTGCAATGGCAGGACCTAGGCATTTGGGCTTGGCAGCCACCAGCTCAATGCCAAGCACACTCAGTCTCCACACACTTCTGAACCTATTATATCCCAAGAATGGTGCTGAGAGTCCACCTGGCCCCTCCCTGACACACTAAGGATTCAACCAAGACCAGAGATTGGGGTCAGGAGCCCAGAAGAGGACCAGTCAGATCAAGAACAAATCCCTGGCCTTACCGTCCGGAACAAGAACAAAGACCTGAATGCCAGTGAGTCACACTATGGGGAATACACGCAGAGAGGAAGGAAGCCCTGGGTAGCAGATGCACGCACCTTATGTCTGTGGCCTCAGACAAAGCAGGCCCAGACCACGCCTTCCAAGAGGACAGAGACAAAGGCCATGGTCTCCAGGATCTGCCTACAGCACCCCAAATCCACACCCACACACACTTGTGCACCCCCAGGCACTCATGCAGAGAGTTCCAAGGTCCTCTGCCTCTTTTTGGAACTTATTTATTTATATGTTTTTATTTTATCCGCATGAATTTTTTGCCAGTGTGTATGTGCACACAGCAGGTACACACTCATGGACGTCAGATGAGAGCTGTGGTTCCCTTGGATCTGGAATTACGGAGGGTTGTGAGCCACCACATGGGTGCTGGGAATTGAACCCAGGTCCTTTGCAAGAGTAACTAGTGTGCTTAACCACTGAACCATCTCTCCAGTCCCAAGAGGCATCTTTTTATTCTCACACATGGCACTAAGCACCATGGTGTCCATTATCACAGAGTAGTGACTGCCAGGCAGATTCAAAACCTTCACAACCATTAGGGATTAGTGACATCCTGTCTTAGAGCAAATGAAACAGTTACTGGACTGGCCTAAGGGCCCTTGGCTAGTAGATGGAAGAGCAGGCTGTCACCACCAAAGCCCCTCTTCTAGTTGAGGTTTCCACTGTTGTGATACAACACAGCAATCAAAAGGCAAGTTGGGGAGAAAAGGGTTCATTTGACTTATTCTTATTTGCTGTCCATCACCAAAGGAAATCAGGACAGGAACTCAAGAAGGGTAGGATCCTGGAGGCAGGAACTGATGCAGACACACTATGGAGGGGCACTGCTTACTGGCTTGCTTCCCCTGGCTTGCTCAGTCTACTTTCTCAAAGAACCCAGGACCACCAGTCCAGGGACGGCACCACCCACCATGGGCTGCGCCCTTCCCCATTGATCACTAATTGAGAAAATGCCTTACAGCTGGATCTCAAGAAGGCATTTCCTCAGCTGAGGCTCCTTCCTTCCTCTCTGATGACGCTAGCTTGGTCAAGTTGACATAAAACCGTTAGCCAGTACTGCCACTCTCCACCCAGGGAGGCCCAGTGGCGCCAGACCTCAGGTGCTACAAATATCTTAGTAAGGACGGCAGCCTGGGCAGTCCCCCCGACCCCCAGTACAGGGGCTACAAAATGAGGCTGAGTCCTGTAATGTCCTTCAGCATCTATAACATGACTCCAAGGTACAGAGGAGCCTGGAAGGGTCTGGGGGTATCGGGACACCACACTATGGGGAAACCGAAGCTCAGAGTGAAGGCAGGTGTCAGCCAAGGTTACACATAACTCTTGAGTTCGTCTTTTTGCTGATTGGCCTCTTAAAAACTCTCCATGTGACTGGGGGCGGGGAAGGACAGCCCCTAAGTACACAGGAAGTCTGCTGGGCCCCATGTGGGGGTGGAGAGGCCCAAGCCAGTAGGGCAAGACCCCAAGCAGCAAGTCTTGGATTCCACAACAGTCTCCACAGGAAAACAGGAAAGCTGAGCTTTGTGTGCAGCCTGCAACAGCCCCGCCTAGAAGGATGAGGGGTCCTGGGTCTCTAAGAAAATAACCCCTTGGCCCAATGCAGAAGACCCTGCCTCAGGCCAAGACTAAAGGACTAACTTCTGGGGCCCTAGCCAGAACCACACCAGACACACAAAGGGCCTGCTATGTTCACCTACTGGACTCACACCGTCTCCCATAAAGAAGGGAAACTGAGGCCCAGAGACACACAGTGACTGTCTTGAGCAAAGCCTGGAGAGCCGCCCTATAGTCATTCCCAGGGGAGTGGGCCCAGTTTCCCACAAGGAGGGGCAATCTGTCCCCTCTCCCCTTTTCCTGGCAGCCTTAAATACAGGGTGGGGGTGGGAGGAGAGTGGGGCTTTGGCTATTTTTAACCAAATACAACTTTCTGTCTGTGAGTGGACAAGCCCGGGCCGTCCTCAGACACAGGCCGTCTGTGATGCTGCACAGAGCCTGCCTTGCTCAATGAGGACTTGTTTGTTTACTCAGTTTTCAAATTATACCCTCTGCAGCCTGGCCCAGCCCAGTCACCCTTCCCTGGCTGTGTCTGTGCTGGTCCTTGGTGGGGAAGGCAGTCAGGCGTCCTGTCCAGTTCTGTAGCCTCTGGATTGTGGGCTCTTCCTTTCCACTCTCAGGGCTCCGGTTTACTCAGTGGTGAAATGGACAGGATCAGTTAGATCGAGCGGTCTGTCCGTCCATCCTTCCATCCATCCTTCCTTCTGTTCTCTCTCCACAGAGTCTCCGTCTGTGCTCCAGGCTGGCCTTGACCTTGTAATCCTCCTAGCCTTCTGACGTTTAGATAATTTCCATCGTGCCACCTGAGAGACAGATGTGTCCAGGCCAGAGGAAGAAAAACTCATCTGCTGCCCAACAGCAACTTCAAGGCCAAGGCAGGGACTGGGGGGGGGGGGGGGGGACAGGCAATTCTAAGTAAACTTGTGGATTCCAAAACTTAAGCTCCCATCCCGTCCCCCACTCTCCCCACATCCTTCACATTCCAAAGAGCTGCCCTAGCTGGGTAGAGGCACAGGCCTTTAATCGCAGCAGAGGCAGGCGGATCTCTGAGTTTAAAGCCAGCCTGGTCTACAAAGTGAGTTCCAGGACAGCCAGGGCTACACAGAAAAACCCTGTCTCAAAAAAACAAAAACAAACAAACAAACAAACAAAAAAGAATCACAGCTGGGTGTGGTGGCTAATGCTTTTAATCTCTGCACTCAGGAAGCAAAGATAGCCTGGTCTATATAGTGAGTTACAGCTTGGCTAAATAGAAAACGAACACACACACACACACACACACACACACAGAGCACCAGTTATGATGTAGATTTCAGGATTTGGAGAGCTGAGGCAAGAAACTGCTGCAAATTCAAGGTCAGCCTGGACTACGCGGTGAGACTGTCTCAACTCAGGACTGTCTCACTTGGGGCATTGGTTACAGAGCACGCACACGAACTAGAGTTCAGTCCCAAGCACCACATGAAACTAGACGTGTGGCACACACCTGTGACCCCAGCATGAGGGAGGTCAGAGTACAGGAATCAGAGGGTCAGGGTCAGGCTGTCATCGCCATGTCCCTGGCACCTGTCATAGGCCAAGAACTCTGCAGAGCCTTTAGATATTCCAAAGGCAAGTAATGGGGGGTCACTGTTTCTTTTTTTTTTTTTTTCCTTTTTTTTTTTTTTTTTACACCAGGCTGGCCTCGAACCCAGAGAGATCCACCTGTCTCTGCCTTCTGAGTGCTGGGATTAAAGTGGTGCACCACCACTGCCCAGCCATTTACTTTCACCTGCAGCTCCAAGGAAGGACCATGACCAAAGCCACACAGCTTTGTCCCTGGCAGGCACATGGCCTCCTGATGGAGTGCACTCTGGTTTTGCACACTCCAAGAGTGTACAGGATCTCTCAAAACTGGTGCACATCAGATGCTCCCCCCACTGTCACCAAGGCCTAGGCCACTCCACCCCTACCTGGGTATGCCCTCACCACCCACCCCCATGCTCAGCCCACCACCACAACTGGTTGTCACTTCCACCTGGGAATGAGCCAAGGCTTCCCCAGGTCTCTCAGGACAAAGTCCCTCCTCTTCAAGGCCAACACTCACAGCTCCTTCCACCCTACACTCCCCCACCTTCCGCCAGGAGGCTCCAAGCAAATGAGGACCACTGAGAAAGTTCGATCAGCCTGTCCCCAGCACAGGAAGGGCTGTGTAACTGTCTCGGCTTCCTTTTAAAGTGAGCGCTCCGCCACGGGTTTGTATGTGTGTGTGTTTGGGGGTGGAGGCCCTCGAGAATATCAGGGCACACGTGGGGAGGACGTCACAAAGTCAGTCTTTCACCACAGATCTGGGGACTGGACGCAGGAGCTGGATCTGCACAGCGGGCATTTTCCCTGCTGGACCACTTACTGGCTATCATGTAACCCAGGCTGGCATCCAACTGGATATGGAGCCTAGGATTATTCTGAACTCCTGACCTTCCTGCTCCAATCTCCTGAGTGCTGGGATTACAGGCATGCACCATTAAACCCAGATGAAATTCCATAACTATTGACTGAGTGGATAAAGGAAAAATGACCAGGATGTCAGGACCCAGAGTGCATCACCTGGAGAAGGTCTGAGAGGCATGGACCACTGTTTCCACACAGCAAACCACCTGGTAGGGCCTTTCGAGTCCTGGGAAAGGATTTTCAAAGGCAGAGACATCCCAAAAGAGGGTATTGATCTTGAGGTCACAAATGGGAAGACCCATCAGAGAGGTACAACCTCTAGCCAGAGTCACACAGCAAATAATCAACAGGACCAGGTTCAGAGTATAAATCTAATTCAGGACACACAGTGCTTTTACCTTCTGTGTCCCAACTCAAGACAGACACAGAGTGGTGCACAACGCTGGGGGAACCACAGCCCCACCCCACAGCTCTGCACACACAAGCTGAATACCTCAGGTGTCCTGAACCAAAGGCTGGTGTTGCTCGGGCTAGGACATGCCTGCTTGCTGTGGGACACAAGGCTGGCCACACGCGAGGGGGCAGACAAATCAGCTATGTCTCCTGAGGTGTCAAGCAGGCCCAGTAGAGTAACAACCAAAAAAGCCATCATTTGGGATGGACAAGCCCAGATGTTGTGAAAGTCCTTGCTATGTAAACATGACAGAGTTCGATTCCCCAGAACCCATGTAAAGGTGGAAGAAGAGAACCACAGAGGCATCCTCTGGTCTCCAATGTGCACCACGGCACATGTGCACCACACACATCACGCACAAACACACACAGAAAATTAAAAAAATGTAAAAGCTGGGTGGTGGTGGCGCACATCTTTGATCCCAGCGCTCAGGAGGCAGAGGCAGGTGGGTCTCTGAGTTTGAATGCAAGCTGGTCTAGAAGAGTGAGTTTCAGGACAGCCAGGGCGACAACAGGAAACCCCGTCTCAAAAAACCAAAAACCAAACAAACAAAAATAAATTTAAGCTACCCTACTAATCAAGCTGAGGGCATAGCTCAGTCAGCGCTCGCTGAGTGTGCATCAGGACCTGCGGACAGCACAGCACCGCGCACACCGGACACACACGTGTCATACAGCTGCAATGCCAGCACACGGTGGAGGTGAGGGGACCAGGGGTCCACGGCTACAGAGCAAGCTCAAGGCCAACCTCAGGACGTGAGACCCTGTCTTAAAACAAAACAAAATAGCTGTCACTCACTGCCACCACTTCCAAAGATTATCATGCTGCTCTGTGATGGCAAAACAACCTCCATCTTTTACAGAGACCCCTAAGGCCCAGGGACACCAATTCATCTAGAGACAGAGCCCAAGCTCCACACACACAAAGCCTTGCTCCGGGGACCCCTCTCAGATCCCTGCTTCCCATTCACCATTCACCGTCCCCTGTGGCAGCAGACCCATGGTCCCTTCATCATGGGTTGGAGTCAGCACATTTCCTCATGGGACCGGGTCCCAAGTGGGCAGGGCACCACACAGGCAGCACTTCCGGTTCTCCCAGTTTCACCATCAAGCCTCCTCGGTGACTCAGGCCCTGAAACTCCACCTAGAGAGGAGCGTGGCTCTGCTCCCCACTCGGGCTTCAGAAAGCCCTTCTTCCCCAGGCAGGGAAGTGGGTGGGGGTGGGGCCGGGGAGGAAAAGGCAGTGCAGGAATCTGTAACCGCAGGATGATGCTTCTGCGACAATGTGTAGTGAGTGAGTCAAGAGCTCTGCCTGGGGAGGGGGTGGGGCAGAGGGGTGGCTGCTCAGAGAGAGAGGCTGTGAGTCTCAGACTGAGTAATGCCTCTGCCACGGTGGGATATAGCCATAGCTGATATAGTCGGGCAGCCTATCAGGCCTCTGGCCCAAGCCATACAGTCCCCCCTCCTCTCCCTGCCAGGCCCCATCTGTGTCTCTTTGGGGCCTTTCCCACACTGCCCCCCTTGTGAATCATAGCGATGCAGTCACAGTGGGGACTTCGTCACGAAGGCCTTGCTCTCCCTGCTTCCTGCCTTCCATGGAGGTAATTCTGAGAGATAATCCAGGCATTGGACGGCATGGCACAGAGTAAGTGCTCAGTTAAAAGAGTTGGGCTGTGCTGTGGCTCAGTTGGTAGAGCGCTAGCCTAACATACATGAGGCCCTGGGTTTGATTCCTGCCTAAGATCTTAGCACTCAAGAGGTACAAGGTCATCCTCAGCAACCCAGTGAGTTTGAGGACAGCGTGGGTTATAAAAGGCTGTGTCTAAATAAATAAATAAAACTATTTTAGCATTCACAGCCTGAGAACCGCCCCTCCTTTCTCTATCACCCGCCATTCTTAGACAGGAAATAGACCAGTCCCTGTGGGCAGCAGGCCAGGGGAGCAGCTACTGGGGCCACATACCCTGAGGCCACAGACTTCAGTTCACACTAACAACTCACGGGCAGTCCCTTCAAATGCATTCGCATCTAACAGATGCTCAGAGAGGTCCCCTGGGCTCCCAGGAGGGATCTTTCCTGGATATGTCCAGATGAATAAAAAAGGCAGGGTAGGGGTAGAGTATGCAGGATGGATCTGGCTTCAGCAGGGTGGCCAAGCACAGCCAGGGAGGAATCAGGCATAGGAGATTGCGCTAAGAACCAACAGGGCAGGAAAAACCCAAAGGCAACATTGAGAGAACAGCTAAGAAATGCCTCACCTGGAAAGACGTGCAGACTGTGAAAAAGGTGTTTACTGTAAATAGTTTAGAAAAAGAGGGGAGACACACAGTGTTGAGTCACAGTGCCAGCAACCTACAACCACAATGGGGCAGGCGGGGAAACGCTACCAAAGGACAGCGTGGTCAGGCAGGGGGTGGGTGAGCCGCCTTTCTTGTCTTTCAGCTTCATTCCTTAGGCGGCAGGAGGCAGGGAGGGCGGGCTATGGCCCAGTTTGGGATTAGAAAGGTCTCTTTTGGCAGCCTGTGTGGGAAGGCCTGGGGTGAGGTGGGAGGCCCCCAGGAGGCCAGAGCACGGGCTAAACGGTGGGAGAGGACCAAATAGAAGACTAGAGGAGGCTGGGGGGAGGGGAGAGCAGGAAAGCCAACAAAAGCACATTATGTAAGACTCAACACAGAGATAGCAGAGTGCCCAGACACTTCACCCACAGAGGCTGACCCAGGCCTGGACCAAGCATCCGGCCTGCAAGGTCTCTGGGCAAAGCCCTCCCCCAACACCCCCCCCACCCCATGACAATTAGGCAGCACGGCAGGGAGGGGGGAGTGTAACACCTACATCCTTCACTCCTGCACCTGTAGCCACTTTTAGAAGTGGAGAGGTAAAGGCGTGGGGGTTGCTAAGATCAATCTGCAAACAGGTATTATTTGCTTTTCTTGACAAACAAACATGATCCCTTTTTCATAGCCGGTTATCACAAAGGGCGATAACCCAGTAATAAAGGAGGTCTTGGCAGAAGGGTATGAAATGTTTGTCACTTTCCAAAGGCTAAGCATGGATGTAT